AAACAAAACAAAACAAAAAACAAACCACCAAACCCTAACAAAACAACAAACCCACACAAAACACTTGGAGACAGCACAGTAAGAGAACTCTGAATGACAGAAAGAAGAGATAAATTACCTAGGGACCTCAGGACCCAGAGAATAACATGAAAGCAAGTTCCTCGAGTTTCCTGGTTATTTCCTACATCACAGACAGAATCGGGGAGAAAAGTCTGTAACCTGAATGATCAGCACCAGAAAGATAAAAATCTAAACAAAAGAAAAGTTCTTTATCCTTGAGTCCATTTCAGCTCCTAGCAATCCGACAGGACAGAAAAGAAGTGCCCCAAAGAGTTTCCAAGACTGTGAGAACCAAACTCCTACATCTTTCTCTCAAGGAGCAACTGGTAAGTCTGAACTAACAATCTTTTAGGTAACAGTTGAGTGATTAACCATTCCAACCTCAGGTCCTCAGAAATGTCAGTAACAGACTGTCACAGAATCTATCAAAAACTTGTTCTCCCAAGCCAATAAAGGGGAAAGAGCCTAACAAGAGAATCTTGGCAATATCCACACTTCTTTAGCAAAGAGGAGAGAGAGAAAGCTCATTGTTATTGTGCCAATTCATACCCTTGAGGCTTTCTGGTCTTTGGAGTTTTTTTGCACATAATCTACTTTTCTAAGAATGATGTCTTTGACCAAGGGCCGGCCCTTCCTAGCAACATGCCCAAATCTTACGAGATGAAGCATCACCATTTTTTAAGGAGCACCTTGGTTATACACCTTCCAAGATAAATTTGTTCTTTTGGTCATCCAATGGTATGGGCTCTTCTCACTAACTCTACAATTTAAAAGCATCAATTATTTGTTCTTCCTTATTCATTTTCAATTTTCAAATGCAAATGAAGGAATTGGAAATATCATGGCTTGGGTCAGGTGCACCTTGGTCTTTAAACTAATATCCCTGTTCTTTAGCTCTTTAAGGAAGTCCTTGACAGCAGATCTGTTATCATTTATATTTTGACTTCTACTACAATGGATATTGTGAATCTAACTTCAATGAAATTGTTGACAATTTCAAATTTTTTTCCCCCTCTATTTATCATGATGTAGCCTATGGTCCAGTTGTAAGGATTTCTGTTTTCTTGATGTTAAACTGTAATCCATTAGAGGTGGCAACATACAGTCTTCATTTACCTTCAATAAGTGCTTCATGTGTACTTTCTACAGTTAAGGTTGCTATCTCCATAATGCACATTGCTGACGAGTCATCCTCCAATTCTGATGTCATATTCTCCTTTATATAGTCAAGTTTCTAGAATGATTTGCTAAACGGAGAGGTTGAATAGGTATGGTGAAAGGGTACAACTCTGACACACATCTTCCCTGATTTTGTATCATACAGTATCCCATGTTCTGTATGAATGACAGCCTCTTGGCCCTGCATGAGCGGATGTAGGTGTTCTGGAATTCCTTTCTTTTCGCTGTTAATTTATTATGACCCACAGTCTAAGGCCTGTGCAGTCAACAAAATACAAGAAAGTATCTCTTTGATATCTGCTTTCAGCCAAGATCCACCTTATCAGAAATTATACTCCTTGTCTCATGGTCTATTCTGAATCTACCTTGAATAGGAACCAAAATTATAAACATAGTATCATTTACTAATGCTAATAAAATAACTTTTAGTTATATCTAACACAATATGTATAGGATCTAGATGTTGAGAATTACAAAATGTTTATCAAGGAGAGAGAAACCATAGAAGATCTAAACAAATGGAGATACATTCTATTCATGGATTCAAAGTTTCAAAATAGTAAATATGCCAATTCACTCCAAATTGATTTATATGCTTACTGCAATGCCCATCAAAATGATAAGGTGTTTTGTAGACATTATGCCTACAAATAAATTTTATGTGGAAAAAATGTAGGGCCAAGAATAGCTAACAGTGGCAAGAATTCCTCTACAAATATTGTTGATCATATAGCTACATTGGAAGCTCTGGTGGTCTAGTCTAAAGTAACTGTGCTGCAATTCCAAACACACACAGTTTGAATCCCCTAGTTGCTTTCTAGAAGAAGGGTGTGTAATCTCCTCCAATGCCATTTACTGTCTCTGCAATCCCACTGGTGGGTCAACTATGGGTCAGTTCCTGACTCAACAGCACACAGTAATACAGCTACATCAACCAAGTCTATGTGACTGACAGAGATCAGTGTAAAAAATAACAAACTCACAAACCTTATCTTTAAGATAATAGTGCAAAAGCAATGAACTGGAGGAAAGATTACCTTTTTAGCAAACAGTGCTGGAACAACTAGGCATTCCTAGGTAGGGGGATAAATTAATTTCATTGCAAATGTGACTCTTTAAACAAGGTTAACTCAAAATGGATGACAAATTTAAATGTAAAACTGCAAAACTTTTAGGAAAAACAAAGCAGCAAACAGGAAAATAGTACTGAGGCACTACGTCAAAATTAAAAATTTTGGACTTGACACTGAAATAAAAATCCACAAAAGAAAAATTTAAATAAAACCTCAACAGAAATACTGTGCTTTGCAAAGACTTTGTGACGATGATTAAAAGACAAGCTACAAATGTGAAGAAATTATCTTCCAACAACTTAGTGAAGAACACGTATGTTATCTTAAATTAATAAACATCTCTCAGAACTCAACAAGAAAATCAAAGAATACTGGCAAAAGACAAAAGTATTTTACAAAAGAGGATACGTAGATGTTAAGTTAGTGAATGAAAGATGTTCACTATCATTAGCTATTGTTGTTATGTGCCATCAAGTCACCTGTGCCTTATTGTGACGCTATGCATAACAGCTCTGAACTGTCCTACCCTGAGCCAATCTCACCCTCTCCAACACATCTGCTCCTTACCCTACTTTCTGTGTCAATCCATCTCATGCAGGGTCTTCTTCTGCTGTGCTGTCACTTTACCCTCCTAAGTGCGATGTCCTTCTCTAAGGAGTGGTCCCTCCTGGCCACATACCCAAAGCACAGAGACAAAGCTCCAAATTCCATCCTCCAAGGAGCAACTTGGTCTCACCCTCTCTAGGAGAGACATGACTGTTTCTTGGCAGGGCAGGATATGCTATGTTCAGTACCTTGTGATTTCCTGACTGCTGGTGCCAAGAGTGTTGACTGTGAACCAAGCAAGCTGATACTGTCAACAATCTCAAGGATGTGATAATTAACATTATTATGAATCCTACTAACATAAAATTTCTTAAAAAATTAAGAGAATCACTAAATGCAAAATCATATATTCACTAGCACTAAAATAATAAACAACTTACTTTATATGAATAAACTTTTATTGAATTTTAGATAATTAGAAAGAATAAAGAAGTACAAGATAAATGCTTTCTAAACAACATCTGATAGTACCATCTTTTCTGAGCCATAGTATTTTCATATTTCTTTATAAAAAAGTATAGACATTCATTTATTTAAATTTTTACAAAATCAAGAACCATCAAACAAACAAACAAACAAAAATCAAGTAATGCTAAAGTAAATTGAGCTGTTTAGTAATGGAATGGCTGCCGTGGTTAGATTCAGAGCTTGGCTCTCTTAGAAAAATAGTGTATACAGTAACTTCATTTTTTTTTTTTTTTCAAATAAATCAGAAAAATCCAGTGCCTATTCCTTATGCTATGTTTGTAGGGATAAGGGGGAAAGAGCATGGAGGGAGAGAGTGAGTGAACATATGTGGTAAAGAAAAGAGGCTCTTAATGAATCAGAGTTGATATTATAAATAATGTAGCAAAGAAATCTAGGAAGGAACCATCTGAGGGCTGCTTTTTAAAATGTGATTAAGGCGAAAGACTCACCACGATGGCCAGATCTACTCAGCACACAACAGGAGGGCAAGCTGGTAAGTTATCTGATGAACCGCAAAGGCCAGCCACGCTGGTAATTAATCACAGAAAGAGCCTCTCTGAGTGGTGTAAAACACATCCGGGAAAACCGTGTGCAAAAAGGCAACCCTGAGCTGTTGTAGACATAGGGCAGGCCTTCCCAGGAGCACACCTGAAAGTACTTCCTTTATCTTGGTCTTAGGACTTTTGCAAAACCAATTAGTTTGAGAAAGGCAAAAACAAAACAACTCCTGCTCTGTATAACAACCAACTCACAGCTCTACTTGTCAAACAAAGGGCAGGTTATCTGCCTCAGCTGAGGCATCTGGTGCTGCCCTCATTAAGAGCAGGCTTGTGCGATAAGGAGGCGGTGCAGGCCTGCAGGGCGGCAAGGCTGCCCTGGAATGCTGGTGTCCCTCAGCCCTGCCTCCTGGTCTGTGCTGCTCATACCAGGACCTCGCCCCTTAGTGACGGACCTCCCAGGGAGGTCCCACAGAACAAAGTGATACACAGTCAGCTGTTCTCCTTCCCAAGCCCAATATCCCTCAGGTATTATTTTTTATTTAAAAAGAAAGCAACATTTTAAAAAATATTTTTCCATGAAATAATGAACAGTAATCGCCATGGACCTGTAATGGATCTTAGAAAAGAGCAGACAGTTGATAATCTGTCGATACAGCAATATTCCAAATAGGAAACTCATGGTTCAGGAAAGATAAATAAATAAATATGAAGGGATATATTCCAAAGACATTTCCTTTGCTTTCCCTCCCTATCTGAATGCATTTTTAATTTAAAATGTTCCGATTCACTGATACAAGAGCCAGCCACATGGGGACCAGTATTAACTATTTCTGCCAGTAAACAAACCCTCTAAATAATGAGGGAATAGGAAGATGAAGAACATATTACAGGCTTGCTCAATATTTTTCTAAAATACCCTATCTTAAAAAAACTTCATTATTTAAACTTCATTTAATCTGGCACTTTAATCTCTTTAAAAAAAATCATGAAGTTAGGCAAGACTAAAGAACAAGCCCATCGGACTACAGTTTGGATTTTATGTGCTATTCTGCTTTATCCTTGGCTTGGCACATCTTTGAGATCCAGCTATTGAACAGAATCCCAGGAAATATCTGGTGGGGAAAGAAGTCCTCATGATGGAGAATTCTAGTCCCTTTTACAAACCTTAGAGGTCAGGTAAGAGCATTGCTTCTTGTGCTTTTTTGCTAATAAACCGTGTTTCTTTCCCAGCACTCGCCCCACCCCAAGCCCTCTGCATATGAGGCATTCCATTTATTCTTTTCTAAGTACTATATCCCCTCTTGTCCTATACCAGGGACCCAGCCCGACTCTGGGCCGGCACCATAACAGGTACAGCACCAATTCGCTCCAGTGCTGCGTGGCTGATGGTGTAGGAGTGTGGATGCTGAGGCCGAGGCTTCCTGCTGACGGAGCCATTGCTCCTGGACACAACCTGTGGTGATGACCCTTTGTTGGCCGTCACCACTAGAGTCTTATGTGGAGCTGAGACCAGGTGGGTCCCATTCGCGTAGATGGATGGGATGTTGGCATTGCCGGAGTGCAGGGAGAAGGACTGGCGTAAGTCACTGAAGTGGGTGAATGGCTCCGTGTTTCTATGAACTTTTGGATTGCTGCTCCAGTATCGACTGTTGTAGGTGTTGGAAGAGGTCAGTGTGTTGTTTTCTGAGGAAGATATCTCAGTGTGAAATGCTTTGGCAGAAGAACATTTTGGTGGAAGATCATCCTCTCTGAAAAAGAATTTGACAGAAAAAGAGAAGTTGTCATTAGAATTTGACATTTACCCTTCTCACATGTCCAGCATACTTCTGCCTCATGGTAAGATGAGTGTGTCTGTGAAACAGAACGGTCATGAAGGCAGACAGAGCAGGCCTGCACAACCACAAATCGGCACAATTCACTCCCTTTTGAGACAATGACCATTAAAATTTTCCCTCCACTTCTCATTTTCCAAGATCAGTATTAAATTCCTCATACTGCCTCTTCCAAGCTTAAGTAAAATTACAAATGGATTTTTTTTTTTTCTCTTTTGGTGTAAATAGGAAAAGAGTTCATGAAGAAAGCCACTATATTAGCTATTATATAACAGCTAATAAATAAAACTACTGGTTATGGGGAAAGTTTTACTTCAAGAAATTACTAGAGTTGGCTTGATTTCATTGTCCTGAGAAACTACTGTGATGATAGATTTTTTTTTTAGTAATCTTTGTTGTTGTTATGTGCCATCGAGTTGCCTGCAATCCATAGCGACCCTATATACAGCAGCTCTGGACCCTGCTCTGTAAGTGTGCTCTACTGTACATATAGGGTTTTTGAAGGCCTGTTAGTCTGGCAAAAAAGATCTCTATCTACATCTCAAACCCTTAAAAGTAACTAGAGGCTAAGAGAAGCAACTACATTAATACATTAACTAATTTAAAATGTACTGAGTATCAGGCATCCTAACAGATGTTATGTGCCATCGAGTCACCTATGACTCATAGCAACCTCATGTATAACAGCTCTAAACTCTGTCCTATCCTGAGCCAAACTGACCATCTCCTACACATCTGCCCACATAACACAAGTCACTGTGTCAATCTATCTCATTCAGGGTCTTCCTCGCCTGTGTTGTCCCTCCAACCTTTCAAACATGATATTCTTATCCAAGGACTGGTCTCTCCAGGCAACATACTCAAAGCATATGAGGTGAAACTCTAGAATTCTTGCCTCCAATGAGCAACCTGGTTTCAACCTCTCCAGAACAGACCTGTCTGTTCTCTTGGATAATCCATGGTATATTCAATGGTCTTTCCCAGAACCAAAATTCAAATGCATTGATTCTTCTGTCATCCTTGGTCACTGCCAGCTCTCTGATCCACAGCAAATAATAGTGAAGACCATGACCTGGATCAGGTGTACCTGAGTCTCTAAATTGACATCATTGCTCTTCAGCACTCTGAATAGGTCCTTGACAGCAGATTTACCTAATGCAATTCATCTTTTGATCCCCTGATTGCTTGTGTCAAGGGTGTTGATTGTGGAGCCAAGAAAGCTGAAATTGTTAATAACTCAAATATCTTCTCCATCTATCATGATGCTGTCAAATGGCTCACTGGTGAAAATATTTGTCTTCTTGATGCTGAGCTTCAATCCATATTGATGACTGCAGTCCTTGACCTTCTCCAGCAAATTCTTCAGGTCTTCTTCGGTTTCAGCAAGTGAGTTTGTGTCTGTCGTCTTCATAGCACAGGTTGTTGAAGAGTCTTCTCCAGTCCTCATGCCACATTCCTCCTCATAAAAGCCCAGTCTCCTGAATGATCTGTTCCAAATGCAGATTGAAAAGAAATGGAGACAGGATGTATCCCTAACATGCTCTTTTCCTGATTCTGAGTCATGCAGTGTTTCCCTGCTCTGTTCTAATAACTGCTTGCTGGTCCAAGTGTAAGTTTTGCATGAGTAAGATTAGGTGTTCTGGGATTCTCACTAACAAAGTTAGCCACAATTTTTTTGTGATCCACATAGTTAAATGCCTTTGCATATTCAAAGAAACACAGATAGACATTCCTCTAGTACTCTGCTTTCATTCAAGCTCCATCTGACATTGGCTATGATGTCCCTAGTGTCACAGCCTCTTCTAAACCTGGCTTACATTTCTGGCAGTTCTCTGTCGATGTATTGTTTCATTTGTTTCTGGATAATCTTCAGCAGAACTTTGCTTGAGTTTGGTATTAGTGATACTGTTTAGTAATTTCCACAGTCTCGTCAGATCACTTGGTTTTGGAATGGAAATAAATATGCATATCTTCCAGTCAGTTGGCTAGGTGGCAGATAAGAGCTGTTGCGGACACTAGTTCTGACTAGGATCAAGGCATTTCATTCAGTGAGGAAGGCGGGAGGGAAGAGTGAGGGCCAGGCAGAGGATACAGGTGTGAGCAGTGAGCATTCTCTCCCTGAAAATGGAAGAAACCAAAGAGTGACTGGAACACAGTGAGCAGGAGTGCTGGGAGCAAGGACCAGGAAAGGAGGCTCAGGTCAAACTGAAGAGACCTGGATGCTGAGGAGACCAGTGTCACTTTAACCAAAGATATGACAGGAAGAAATCTGAGACTGCACCTGAAATCCAAAATCTCTATAATACAATGAGAGCTACTCTTCTCTAGAGACGATTTTAACAGTTTTCACAAGATTTTCAGACCTCTGTCTTAACTGTCTTTCATACCAACCCATTCTGCCTTGACCTATGACTGCACAGTTACTACTGTGTTCCTCCTTGTTTTAAGTGGGGGTTTTTTTCCCCTCAAGAATTTAAGACTATTTGGAAATTACATTTCTTGTGAAATCCAATACTTTCCTGAACTGAATATATTTAGATACCAAGGCTTTGAGCATATGTTCTGGAGCCAGAATGCCTGGATTTCAACAGCACCTGTGCCAATCACTAGCCACATGATTTTGCTTAATCAGATATATTGCTTAACTCGTCAAGGCCACATTCCTAAAATGTAAAATAGGCACAAAACAAGTGTCAAGCTCAAAGGGTTATTAGGAAGACTGAATATAAAAGTTCATATTTGAAAGATAAATAATATATAAAGATATATACTCATAATAAAAGGAACAAAAGTACAAATCTAGAAATGTGACAGACTGCAGACTGAATACTTAGAAATACTAAGTGAAGATAAGATGTAATTATCTTAAAATTTCAAACTTTTAGAAAGCTATCACTGAGGAGGAAAATGTGGTGTGTGGCTTAATCACTTAAGATAACATAGCAAGCAAGTTTAATTTCTTTTTCTTGGAGGTGTCTACAAAAATCTATGGATAAATTATGTATACTGCATTGAAACAGATGAGGGAGAGAACTGTTTAAAAGAGATATATGGTTAGGTATTATTGTCATGACAGGAGGCCAGAATGAAGTCTGCACAGTGGAATGGACTTGGGGGGAGGGATTGCATAACAATGAAAGAATTTTTCTTTTTCTTTTCAAAGAGAAGAGCTAATTGGGTGGGAGGGGGTGGGCAGGGAGACAAGTGCAACAATGAACGAATGGAAATCCGAAGTCTCTGTAAAACTTTCATTAAAATTAATTAAAAAAAATCTATGGTGGTTATTGTTAGGCGAGACTGAGTAGACAACTCATAGCGACCCTATGAATGAAAGGCCTGAGCACTGTTCAGAGAGTTTCCAGAGGCAAGCCATTTTGGAAGTGGATGTCATTCCTGCTTCCAGGCTTAGAGAAAAAAAAAATCTGTATGTAAGTTTATCTTTGATTTCATAATTTCCTACCGGCAAAGCCCACAGGTAGTTGGGGGGTGGGGAGAAATGTGGTTTCAAAATGTGAAAATAATAAAGATCTTAACATTCATATTAACAAGAACATAATTTCTTTATTTACAGTCTATAGCTTAGATTTAACTGATAGTATCTTTCTCGTTAAGAAAATGAGACATTTATCCATGTTCCCAACTCGCTGAGGGAGGACACTGAGACACGCATCATTCTAAATCTCTATTTCATGAGACGTTCTAAGTCATTACAGCTTCTCTCTTTCCTTTTGCTTCAACGAGAGCCAAGCAAAAGGAGATTAATTGTCTAATGATCTATGCCTCCAGTAGCCTCAAACAATGTGGAAAAAGGACAAAGAATAAAGTCGCCTGAAGAAGAACTGATTGCTTTTGAATGATGGTGTTAAAGAACACTGACTGTATCATGAACTCCCCGAAGAATGGACAAATGTGCCTTGGAAGACGACCAGCCAGAATACCCCTTAGGAGTAAGGCTGGCAAGACTTAGCCTCGGGTATGCTGGAAGTGCTATTATCAGGGAACGGAAGAATATCATGCTTCGAAAAGCAGATGACCAGCAAAAAGGAGCTCGTCAGTGACATAAACTGAGAAAGGGACTGCAACAACTGGCTCAAATACAGCAATGATTATATGAACGGTGCAGGAACAGGCATGTGTACATATGGTCACTGAGTTGCAACTAACTTGAAGATAGCTAACACCACCACATCTGAGCTAACTAAAGATCATTAATATTATTAGTTGTTGTTAGGCGTCATCAAGTTAAACACGACTAATAGTGACTCTTGCCAAATCTTGTGCCTTCCTCATTATCTCTGATACACTGAGCCCATCGCTCAAGTGTAGTCACAGCGTCAATCCACCTCATTGGGGTGGGGGTGGATGTCTTACTCTCCTTCACTGATCCTCCACCTTCCAAGCATGATCTTCCTTTCCAAAGAACAGCCTCCCCCAGCAACACATCCAAAGTATGAGAGTTGAAGCTTCATTTCGATAAGCTTCATCTTCATCTTTTATCTTTGCCTGTAAGGAGAACTCCTTTGGCACCTATTCCAATACATTTCTGTTTGTTCTTTTGGCCGTCCATGGGATATTCAGTCCTTTTCTCCAACACCACAGCTCAAAGCTATCAATTCTTTTTCTGTCATACTTTTTCACTGACCAGCTATCAGATGCATAGCAAGTGATTGCAAAGACCATGTTTTGAATCAGATGCATCTTAGTCTTCAAACTGACATCACTGCTCCTCAGTATTTTTGAGAGGTTCTTGATAGCAAGCTTTCCCAATGCAAGATATCTTTTGATTTCTTGACTGCTGCTTTCAAGTATGTTGACTGTAGATCCAAGTAAGAAGAAATTGTTGACAATTTAAATCTTTTTTTCATAATATATTACTTATGAACTTAATGGTGAGGATTTTTTGTCTTCTTGATATTGAGATATAATCCATATTGAAGGCGGCTGCTGTTGTTATGTGCCGTCGAGTCGCCAGTGACTCACAGCAACCCTATGTACAACAGCCTTAAACCCTGCTCTATCATGTGCCAATCTCACTGTCTCTGACACACCTACCCAATTATCCAAGTCACTGAATCAATCCACCTCTTAGAGGGTTTTCCTCTCCTGCGCTGTCCCTCCACCCTCCCAAGTGTGATGTCCTTCTCCAAGGACCAGTCCCTCCTTGCTATAGTCTTTGATAATCTGCAGGAAGCGCTTTAAATTCTACTCTTTCAGCAAATAACGCAGACTGTTGATGAGTCTTCCTCTGACCCTGATGATACATTCTTCTTCATATGTTTAAGCTTCTCTAATTATTTGCTCATGATGGATGGTGAAGAGAGTGAGATTGTTCACAGCTTTAGTGCAATTTACTGCCTCTGAAAACTACTGGATAGGGTCAGCTATGGATGGATTCCAACTTGACAGAACACGATGTGCCCCAAGTAAGGACGGCAAATGAACAGCAAAACTGGGTCCTATAATTTATACCCTTCCAAGTAACAAAAGATAGTAAACTGCTAGGGAACTATTTGTGAAAAGAAATCTTTTTTACAAATATTT